TGAATACTGCCACTGCTGCTCTGATCTTTGCAAATTACATGGCTGATGAGCTGTTTTTTAAAAATTGTGGTAAAATATGCATAAAATAAAATTTGCCATTTTAAACATACAGTTTAGCAGCATTAAGTACATTCACACTGCTGTGCAACCATCACCATCATCTGCCTCCAGAACTATTTTTTTTATCTTCCCCAAATGAAATTCCATCCCCATTAAACACTAACCCCATTCCCTCCAGCTTCTGGCAGCCATCGTTCTATTTTCTGTCTCCATGAATTTGACTGCTCCAGGAACCTCATACTATGCTGTGTATTTTAAAATGCATTATACTGGGAAAACCTTTTGCAAACACTCGAAGTGAGGTGAATTTTAAGGTCCCAAGTGTTCTGGCACTTAACAGCTACATGTGCATGTATGCATTTGCGTGGCTGAGGGATCATTAAGAGGCTGAAATGGGAAATCGGCTCCTCCATCCGTCAAGGTCCTCATTTGTGGGCTTACGGAAACTACTCCTCTTGCTTCCTTTTCCTTCCAGCCTGAAATGGTTGATGAGTGCTGGCAACTAGTTTAAGAAAGGCCCATTCAGTTTCCTCCCCCGTCCATCTCCATCCTTCTGATGTCTATAGCTTATGCCTGTAAACAGTATTTCTCACTACTGGTTAACAGAATGGGACAACTCCTCCTCCCACCTCACTTCCTTCTGCCCACATATGCCTTTCTCCCAAAGAGCATGCTGCATATAACAGTTCTGTACAGAGAGGCAGGAATGAACAGTAAGAAAAGCTTATCCTGAGACCAGGGGAAGAAAACTGACTCATTCCACATGTCTGGTGTCATTCTCACCTGGACCAGTTTCATTTTGTAAGGATACATTTAATGGTCTTTCTAAAACAAATCAAGCCCCTCTCCCCCAAACACACACACTCAGAATGGTGGGTAATTGCTGCTTTGTATACACCATGGGGGTCAGAAACATTTTTTTCTGTAAATATTTTCAGCTTTGTGGGCCACCCGGTCACTGTAACAACTATTCAACTACTCTGTTATAACCCCCAAACAGACAGTAAATAAATAAATGGGTATGTCCATGTTTCAATAAAACTTTCTTTACAAATGCGGGTAGCAGGCTGGGTTTGCTCACCTCTGCTGTATATAGTAGAAGGCATCAATATATTTAAAATACTTCATGAGACATGTCCAAGCATTACAAATCAAGTGAGATCATTAAACTGGATCATGACCTAAGGCCACCTAGCGATACAGAAGCCATATAAGACCTAGATGAAAGCTACCACAAGAAGTCATACTACATTTGACAACAAGGTGTCATAGAGTGTTTGCTTAAGATATTGGTGGGTGGGTGGGCAGAGTCACAGTCACTAGTTTCTGAGCTTTATGAAGGCAGGAACCACCTTAGTATAAGCTATGGAAGGACAGAAGGATATGCTATTCTTTTTCTACATGGACCTTGGTAACAAATGCTTAAGTAGTATGCCTGGGCTGCTTACCACGACTGCTGGAGGAGAAAAAGGGCAACCTCTACCTTCCTATACTCTGCATAAACACTTCATGTGTCTTAATGTTAGCTTATATTCATCAATTTCCCATCACAGAGCAATGGGCAAAAGATCGTTAAAAAAATATTCCGTTTCAGAGATGACTAGCTTAGAAACCCAAAGTGCTTCCCCCTCTGTAACCAGTTTTCTGCCGTGCAGCTGCAGTGACCTATCATTGACTACACTCATCTCCCCTGTGTCAGTCCTTCAGACGTAGCCATGTCTTCCCACCAAGGAAGGAGCCCATTTCAAGGACTATGCAACTGTAAGAGAGGAGGAAACCTCATTTTTCAGAAGACGGCACACATAGGTGACGGGTCACTGGTGATCATTCACTCCCACTAGGGCGAGGGGAGGAGGGATGATGTGGGCTGGGCTGCTGAAGCCACAAACCAAAGCACAGCTGCAGAGAGATCACATAGCACAAGGTCCTAGATACTCACGGTGGCTGCTACATATTTTTGCAGACTGACCTCAATTGAGGAAAACAAATTGAAGAAAAAAGATCCAAAATCCCACTTTGGATACAACAATGTCGAGGATCCTACAGGGAGCAACACAGACATGGTCACTGCATCCTGGACCCCCTCAAAGGAGAAACAGTTTTGATACCTGAGTATGTGATAGAATTCCTGTCATCAAAGTGCTTACGATTTAGTTAAGGAAAGTGATCATCTAGATTTTTTTAACAGGACAGTCATGGTGGCTCATGCCTGTAATCCCAGTGCTTTGGGATGTCAAGGTGGGTGGACAGCTTGAGGCCAGAAGTTTGAGACTGGCTTGGGCAACAGAGTGAAACCTCATCTCTGCAAAAAATAAAAATAATAAGCTGGGTATGGTGGTGGGCACCTGTAGTCCTAGCTACTCAGGAGGCTAGGGCAGGAGGATCACTTGAGCCCAGGAGGTCAAGGCTGCAGTGAGCCATAATTGCGCCACTGTACTCCAGCCTGGGTGACAGCAAGACTCTCTAAAAACAAACAAACAAAAAGGAATAATGCAGGCTATATTGTATCTAGGAGCGGTAGAGACAGTAGCATCCAAGTAAGACCTGACATGCAATGACTGGCAAGGATCTTCTTCAAGCAAGGTGTGGCCCTAAAGAAGGTTAGCCCTTGGGCAAGCGTGAGGACATTTCACAGAGGGCACTGGCACAGTAAAGCTCCAGTGTGGCTGGAGCTGGGGATGAGGGCAGACAGGCAGGAGCAGCTTGGACAGTGAAGACTGGAGGGAAACAGAAGGACACAGGAGATCTGTGAAAGGCCGCCCTCCCTGACCAGACCTGGGGAGAGAGACAATGGACATCCCCGGTCCTCACTGCTAGTAGTCAGAACTCACCTGTAACTCACTTATTACTGACATGCAAATGAAGGCTAAACTGCCTAAAATGTTACTGAATCCATCTAAAATCTGGCTTTCAAATCTTTCATATGTTCATTTGCTTAGCAAACCTTCTATAAAAATAGAAAACACAGATTTCCAAACAGAGTCCACATTAATGAGGCCTTCAAAAGACTCCAGAAAACCAACGCAAGAGTCTGCACATAGCTAAAAGTTTAAGGAACAGTTTTTCTCCCTTATTCTAATAGCAAGTGACCAAATGACTACGGATTAAAATGAGAATTTTTCATGGCAGATCCTCACCTTTTTTCATGCCATATGTGATTCCTGGCCCTCCAAGCAATGATTTCAGAAGGGTCTTTGAATAAATGCAAAATGCACAGACTTCCTCCATCTAACAGTCTTTTACCAAGCTTTTACAATTTCTGTTTCCTGCATGAGGTTGAGTGCTGAGGATCTAAAGATGAGAAAGACAAGGTCTCTGTCCTCAAGCTGCTTTAGTCCAGGAACTGTGGTCACTGGCCAGGTCCCAGAGCGTAGTTCTTCACCTCTGTGGAGCTCCCCCTGTCTCTCTCTACCTACCTCCAAGTGTGAGTGCCTAAAGCGTGTGTGCTGAAGACGCGAATGGGACCCATCAGCATGCCAAGGGCTGCTCCTGGCATCGGTGCCCCTCGCCTCGGTGGTGGTGGAGAGGCACTGAAGTCCTGCGTCTTGTGCTGCTACATGGGATACCTGTAATCCTGGGACTTGATGGCCTCACCTAAGGGGTACATAAAGCCATATAGAGAAATACTGTGTCTTTTTAGAACGTAGAATATCCATTTTAATCAATGGTAAATGATGGAAATATTTTTATATTAAACTCAAAAACTTACCTAGACCAGAAGAGAAAGGTAAATGTTATTTATTTTTTTGAGATGGAGTCTCGCTCTGTCGCTGAGGCTGGAGTGCAGTGGTGCCATCTCAGCTGACTGCAACCTCTGCCTACCAGGTTCAAGCTATTCTCATGCCTCAGCCTCCTATGTAGCTGGGACTACAGGCATGCACCACAATGCCTGGCTAATTTTTGTATTTTTTAGTAGCGATGGGCTGACCAGGCTGGTCTTCAACTCCTGACCTCAGGTGATCCAACCACCTCCACCTCCCAAAGTGCTCAATCAAATGTTAAAGATAAAACCCAGCACTTCAAAGAAGGTCATACTTTTTGCAGGCCACATGGGCCATGTGCTCCCATCCTAGGGATAAAGCCTCATTCTCCATTTCGCAGGACGCCTTCAATGCAAAGATAGCAAAAGGATTTTCTGGTCTAGAAGTTTATCAATCACCACCACACAGATTCTCCCCATTGCCTCCCTAAATATCTAATCATGAAAAGCCGGGCTAGGAGGGATCCCACTAGCAAGCATTATCTTTTCTGCACTGAAGTGGGTAGAACCCCAAATGTGAGATCCTAGGTGTTGCCAGTGTTTTAATTAAATGATCGTCCTGGGCTGTGACTTTAAATCTCAAATTACCAAGGAGCACCTGGTAGTTAAAATTAATTAGCAATTTTAGCCAAACTGTTCTCTCAATTTCTCACTGGTTTTGCACCCTGTGTAGGATAGGCACTACTGTGGTATAAGGTTCCCCACCAGCAGGGTCCCCCTCTACACAGAGAATCTAAATCGCACAGTGCAAATGTTTAGACTAACCCAATTACTGGAATAGGTCAGAGAGAGAACACCTGAATCCAATTACTTTCTCTCTAGCTAAGACTTTCATACAAAACTCTGAGGTCGTTTGAGCGCTGAATGACTCCAGTGAAGTCTGTCCCCCATGCCTCTCCAGCCAGCCAGAGCCTGAAGGCCTACGAATGTTTGCAGAATCTTGCCTGCATTATCTATTCAAGATCAAAAATGTGTCTCAGTATCTTGGCTTCTAATGCATTTTTGGAAAAGTCATCTTCAGCAAGAAACTTTGCCTATTGTGAATTATCTTGGGATGTGTGTATATGCAGTGGGGAGAGGATTACAGGGTCACTGAGTGTCTGCTGGCCGAATCTGCCACTGGATCTGACTCGTTCTGCTTTGCTTTGCTCACTCCTTGCTGCTGGCATCTCACATACCAATGCCATTAGGCACTGTCTGCCCTGGTCCTCCTACAATCCAGCCAGTGCAGTTCCCGTCACAGCAAGTGCTTCCTCTCTCGGAGCAGACAAGCTAACTGAAGCCACAGCCGGAAGCAGGCTGACCACAAGTGCTAAGCTTCTGGTTAGTTCTTTTCTAGGTAAAGTTGGAAAAGTCCCTGTGAAGGCAAACACTGAAGTTTTAGACACGGGGGTGGTAGTGACCAACCTCTTGAAATGTCCTTGACTGGAAAGAGACAGAGAGAAAGAGAGAAAGAAAGAGAAAGAGAGAGAGAGAGACATAGAGAGAGAGAGTGTGTGTGAGAGAGAGACAGAGGGAGGAGGAGGAAGTTGGATTGTGTGATGCAAATGCTAATCATTCTGAGAAGTGGGTTTTTTTTTTTTTTTTACTTCCCAGGTTCAAAAGAAGAGGCTGTTCTAAGAAAGACTACCGAGTAATCAATCACCTCCTCAGAGAAGGTCTGCTCAGGTACAGTATTATGTTTACCACCTAAACAATGGAACATTTTTTATAGTCAAATCTTTTATAGCCAAATCAGAGAATGAGGTGTTTATTGGAGTGGAGGGAGGGGGGAATTGAGGGCAAAAGAAAGGGTCATAGGAGAGAAGATGGGTCCTAGAAAAATGGTCCTGTTGCTTTCTCTGCCCTTGAGATGGTCTTTTCAACCCCAATGGCAGCATCGTTTCTACTGCTCTTACCGGGAAGGAAGACAAACTGGAAGCCCCAGAATGCCTAAGGTTGCTCAGGTTACAGAAATGACTAGAAGAGGGTACAGAGTAGGTAGGCCTGGAAACAGAGATTTGGTCTCCCATGTATTTAAACCCTCAGAAAATGTCAGGAGGAGGAGGCTTGAAGATAATATTTATCTCTTCAAAAGCAGACATATGGGATACTTAATGGACTTTAAATCATTTGTTCTTTTTTGAGCTAGGGTGATCATTTCCATTGAAGAGGAAGAAAAAAATTAATCTTTAGAGCTAATTATTCTAAGATCACAGCAAAACAAAACGAAAACCCTCTAAAAACAAAGAACCAGAATCTATTGGTCTGGATGAAAAAATAGTCATCTTTAACTATGTTCAGTGGCTCTGAAATGCCACTTAATATCTATTATAGGCTGGGCACAGTGGCTTACACCTGTAATCCCAGCACTTTGGGAGGCCAAGGTGGGCAGATCACCTGAGGTCAGGAGTTCAAGACCAGCCTGGCCAACGTGGTGAAACCCTGTCTCTACTAAAAATACAGTAATATTAGCTGGGTGTGGTGGCATGGGCCTGTAATCCCAGCTACCCAGGAGGCCGAGGCAGGAGAATAGCTTGAACCCAGTAGGCGGAGGTCGCAGTGAGCTGAGATCATGCCTCTGCGCTCTAGTCTGGGTGACAGAGCAAAACTCTGTCTCAGAATATATATAATATATATATTATACATGTTTAAAAAAACCCTAAAAAATGGGTCCCAACTTTGGACACAGTAAGATCAGAGACAGCCTAAGGCTCAGGGGGAGGAAGGGAGGGAGTGATAAATCAGAGGCACACAGAGGATTTTTAGAGCAATGAAACTTGTATGATACTGTAATGGTGGATACCTGTCATTTACATAGTGAAAACCCACAGGATGCACAACATGAAAAGTAAGCCACAAATGATGGAGGGACATTAATAACAATGTATCTAATATTGGTAAGTCACATGTTAACAAGCAGGCCACAATAATACAAAACGTTACTAACAGAGGAAACTGGCAGGGAGTCAGGAGGAGGAGAAGGGGGTGTATGCGAACTCTGTACTTTGTGCTCCATTTTTCTGTAAACCTCAAACTGCTCAAATAAAGAAAAATCTACATTTTTTAAATCTTATTAAAAATATGGTTTTAATATTTTTTTCTTTTTAATGTTTTTCTTCTTCTATCTTGTGAGTCTATTAATTTTTTAAAAATGGAATTCCATACCCGGAATTTGTTGGCCAGCCCCACGTGGAAGGAATTCAGTTCTCTTTGTCTGAAAAGTACAGTTACCACAGACCACAGGCATATTAATATCCCTGTATTTCACAGGTTCTGTACATTTCTACCACAGCCTTGTGACGTTAGTGTGTCAGGAGAAAAAGCAATGGCCTGTAATAAGAAGAGTTTCAGTTGTGTGTATACAGGATGGTGAATGAGTCAGCTAGCTCACCAACCTGGTCTATTTTCTTTTCCTTTTTTTGAAAGAGATCACCTCACCAGCTACCTCACTGGGTTACTTTAAGGATCAGATGGCTGTGAAAACATCCTATGAACTGGAAAGCATTATGCAAAAATATTATAAATCAGTATGCCATCTGCCTAGAACTGAGACAGAGTCAGTGCTGCAATCCAGGTATTGACTCTAGTTTCAGTGCTCAACTCCTGTGTAAAGTTCTTTTCTTTGGGATAAAAGTTTAGGGATACCGATTTCTCTTTTTACCAACTAAGCCACATGAAGGGTATCCAGACTGTACAAATCAAGGTGTCAGTCTGGTTCTGCTTTTGAGTTCTGAATGACATTACCAAAACAGGCCACATTATATAATCTTTGGCTGGACTGGAATGACCAGTCACCCTTCCCAGACTCCATAGTTGTTCTTGGATGATACAGCACAACAAAGATGGGCTCATCCCAGCAGAGAGAACACACCCATTTCTGATGAAATCCCGAGGAAGAGCCAGCCGCAGAATCATCCTTTCAAGTCATTCTGGGGCCACAGGTGAAGCATTCCCTGGGCACCCACGGGGACTGTGATACACAGGGTGCACACTTGCAGGGTACAGCTGGGTCCCGGGCACCTAGGCTACCAGGCTGAGGAAACCAGAGGTCACAGGAGGAGAGAAAGGTGGGACTGGCCGCCTATGCTGGACAAGGGCAGGGCAAGCCCGTTTGAGAATCTGAATAAAGAACAATCAGGCTCACTCACCCTTCTCCCCACATCAGTGTCCAAGCTGGGACATCTCACTTAGGCAACTTCCCGGGCACTTTGAATTAGCTAAGAAATATGCCAGAACATTCCCAGTGGCTACGGATAAGGATTTTAGCTATTTTTTCATGGTTTTCTTCTATTCTTTTCTGGATTCCATTAGTATTCAACTTTGATCTCTTACTACTTTTATATAGCAATATATTATGTTTGTTTTAAACTTACTGAAACATCTTTCCAAAGTTCTGTGCTGTTGTTTCAGGGAAAGATACATTTACCTTTGAAAACACACACACCCTCACCAATAAGCTGCTTCAACACAACCACGTTCCATCCCAGCTTTATCATCTGATGGGCTTTTATACTGGAAAGCTCTGAAATGAAACAGTTTTACTTAAGGTCAGCCCTGCCTAGACACACTGAGAAAGAAGTGATGGAAGATGTTATCCTTCTCACCATCCACAGGAATTCATAAAGAGGTGAGAAAGCTACCAGCACTGTTACTGACTTGAGACTGGTTTGGAAGAACGGTGCCACACAGCAAGATCTCCTTAGGGAGAAAGAGATCATCTGTCATGTAGATGTGCTCCAAATTCATCTTCTCCAAACCCTCCCTTTTTCTAACCAGCCCCTTGTACTCTGACCCGTTATTTACTAGCGTGTTCACACAGCTAGCGTGTCCCCTTCTCCCTCCTGTCAGCCACATTCTTGCTCCTGACATAGACCCTAAGGCTCACACCCTCCTGTTTCATATTTCACGAACTCCTGTCCCCACTCTGAATGTTGCTTATTGGAATCTCAAAGCTACAATGGGCACAAGAGACCCTTTGATTCCACTTCCTCATTTTATAGGCGGTAAAACTGAGGCCCTGAAGAGAGAAGATGTGTCAAAGGTGAAAACTCAGTCAAGTTCACCTGTATAGCTTTCACACACAAATGACTCTCCCTAAAACTGACATCTCTTCCCCATTCTCACATTCCCTAGAGACATGACAGTAGGCTTCATAGTAAAGACTTAGATTTTAAAGAACTCTGAATACATATACTTGATGTAGACAGTCACATTTAGAACATTTTCCAGGTAAGAGCAGTTTTATAACTGCATTTTTATGGTTACAGACTTCTCCGTATCCTGTTATACTACAGTCCAGCTCTACCAGACACAGTCAATACTTGGAATACACAGGACATAAAGGAGTTGAGGCAGGAGAGTTACAAATGTAGTGAGGAAGTCTGGAAGTAAAGGGCAAGTCGGGCAACCCAGTGGAGTCTGCGGTCGGGGAAGGAGCAGGAGGGTGGGTCAAGGTATGGACGGGGGGAGAAAATGCACTTTGGAGCTTATCAGATCTGCCAAGTTGGGGAAAATGTGCATGTATGCAGCTATTTCATATGTGTAATAAAGCATGGACAAACATACATCCATACATCCCTGGACGAACTAGCCAACGGGGAGAACTGTTTTCATGCACAGTGAGGCCGTCTTCAGTGGCTGATGGAATGATGTCTGTGCATAACCCTCATGTCCTGCACAGACTCACAGAATAGACTCTTGGGTATACCTGGCTCACGCCCTATGCTCTCCCTTAGCACACAAGCTCCTTCAGGGCGGATCAGGGCTCTGCTCAACTCACTGCTACAAACAACACCTGGCACACCCTCCATGAAGGTCAGGATGTAGGAAATTCAGAGGGGAGTGCTAAGAGGTCACTGCAGAACCGAGGCCCCAATGCCAAGTGCTTCACAATAAAAGAAAAGTGCCTGTGAAGTGCTCCATGGGACAAGGGGTGATTTCATCCCCTCTAGACTAAAGGGCAGAATGTGTTCTGAGGCTGGGTGGGGAAACATAAGCTCAGCAACTGCTTTGTGCAGCTGCCACTGACATGAACCCAAGCTCAAGTGCACAGGGTGGGGTGAGAGGCTGGCTGGCTGGGCGGCGAGTCCAATGACGCTGACACACTGTTTCCAGCCACCGGGAAGCCGGTGCCAAATCCCTCTTCACTCCTCCCTGCTCCGATATTCTTGCCGCTGCCGTGGTGCCAGCTAACTTCAGGAGGCATTCTGGGAATTGTGTTTAGCAGGCAAAACAGGCTGTCTCCTTACCCACGGCGCAGGGCTTTCAGAGCCCAGGTGACATTTTAACCAATGCTCGTGGCCTCCCAGGTTGGGCCACAAGGAAAGCTGCTGCTCAGCACTACTGACGCTGAAATATCAATCTTCTAGGAACATACCCAGGCACGCCCTTCCTCCTAACATCCTCGCTGGAATTCGGAATAAAAGCCCAAACCCATCACCATGCATTTGCACAAAGCAGAGGGCGTCCACGCCACTTTATCAACAGCCAGGACCTGCCTGCTTGATGCTGCACAGAGGAGGTGCACACGCAGGTGGAAAGGTCAGAGGAGGGTTAAGGGCACGCCCTGCTGGACTCGCCCTTCCTCTCTCCTGCACCTAAGTGCTATCTGGCCGGGACTCCAACTTCTCATTTCCTTAAACTGAGATGCCCCATGAAGGCTGTGCGAATTTTTATGCTCATTTCTTGATTCTAGTCACTACTGCCACCATCTTTCCCCCACACCTAGGTCCTTACTGTGACCTAATTACGATCCACAGATAACTCTACTCCCTCCAGCCCCTGCACTTGGTTTCTTGAACTGCCTAAGGTTGGAAGCTGTTGTCCTCATTTAAGAAAGTGTCTGCAGATTTCACAGGCTTTCTTGGGTCAAGAAAGGTGCAAGACTTCAGCCAGGTCCCCTTTTAAACAGAAGGTAGTGGCACACAGGTATTCTGTTTCCATTTTGATCTTTTGCCCTTGTTAACATGTTGCTTTCTGTGTTTGCTTCCTATATCATCTTATCAAATATAGATAAACACAAGGGCTAGATGTCCTACTGCTTTTGAATCTTCTCATAATGTTTCCTTACAGAAGTTTAGTAGTGCTGAATTCGCTAATAGAACTTATTTGTTTGGAAATTTTGCCAGGAGGTGCTGTCAGACAAAAAGGGTCTTTTGCATGTTGCTCTTTTGAAGCAAATTACCTGAAGCTTTTAGGAAAGCATTTTCCAGGAATGTGGGTTCCTGAACTCTCCCTTCCTATGCAAAAGCACCCCACCACCTTCAGAGAGCATCCCATTTGCTGCCACAGTGAGACTACTTTTGATCTGGAAAATTGCTGCTTTGCTTCTGGATCCCTGTATAGCTAGTTTCTAAAGAGGTCAAGTGAACTAACCCGTAATGGAACAAACTGGATAATCTCCAATGGAATGTTGAGGGTGAGGAAGACGGAGCAGGAGAGGCAGAGAGAGAAGGTAGAGAGGTGTCTACCCCTGCTGTGAGAAAAAGCACCAGGCTTAAAAGATGATGGACCAGACATTCTCGTGTGTAATTATTAGGGAGTTATACTAATTTAGATGAGTCACCTGGGTGTGGAAGCTCCAGTCTGGCTGTGCTTCTAGTGAAACGTCCTCCTCCTTTTACTTAGACACCTCCCAAATTGAGCCACAAAGGACGTATCATTCCCTGTTTCAAGCTAAGGTGAGGGTAGTGAAGTTTATCATATTTTAGCAGGTCAAAATCAACATACATTTCAGATACATCCTTTGCAAGAGCTGTGCCTGATATCCTTTCTTGAAATCCTACCATCTCAACAGCCCCTAGAGTTTTGAGGTGGCTGTCTGAGCAGTGATTACTGGCAGCAGCAGCTCTAAGAATCACACCCCGTCTAACTCCCATCTTGTTGATTTACGCCTTAGCCAGTCAGCATCCCCGGGAGATCCTCTTTCCCACTTTCCTCTTCACCCGCTAAGGGGCCTTTCCTGCATCTTGCCTCTTTTAAAGGAGGGTAATTCAGTATCCCTGGGGGTCAGGGCTGAGAGATAAGCAGATCCAAGTCCAAGATGTGCTAGTCCAAACCAGATGCCACCAGCCAACCAATGGCTGCAGGTTGACAGGAGAGCTGTGTGCACGTGCATAGAGGTGACCACATCAGTGACCACACGTGGATATGTGGGTCAGGACAACCCGAGGGTGGGTTCTCGTTCAGCAGCTCTGCATTTCAGTCTTGGCTCTAGCACTTCCCAGCAGTGCGACCCTACAAAAGTTGCCCGACCTTCCTGAGTTTTAGATTCCCATCTGTAAGATGTTAATAGTGCTACCTACTATGCTGTGATGAGGATTAAGTGAGATCATGCACATACAGTGTTTATTTCATGCATACTGATTACACACGACCTATTCATTACCATCCTATCAGCCCTTCCCAGGGAAAGCAGACTCCAGCACAGACTGCTCCTCCAGAAACTGCAGCCCTGGTACATTCTAGAACACTCCAGCTATCATGGGGAGGCAGGTTCTCCCCAAACATTTCACTGTCCAATGAATATCCTGTCCTAGAGAAGGAGCCAGAGCAGTCCAGGGTATCAGGACATTCTGAAATGTGGATGAACAGTATTCTATCTGATCACTCTGTCTTTATGCACCATTCCCTCAAAAACACACCTCTGAAAAGATAAGGGTTATGTTAACAGGGCAGAATTCCAAGATATAGAAGTGAAATCTATAATTAGCAGAAGAGATGCCTTATATTTTTTTCATTTGTACAAATTTGTGGGATATTTGTGAAACTGTGTTACATGTGTATAGGGCATAGTGATCAAATCAAGGTATCTAGGGTGTCCATCACCTGAGCCCCACACATTTTTGTGAATTATAGTCATTCTACTGTGCTATCAAACATATTCCTTGTACCTAACTGTATGTTTGTACCCCTTAACCCATTTCTCTTCATCCTCTCCCTTTTCCCCCAACTCACTCTTCCCAGTCTCTGTTCTCTATTTTTCCAGTCTCTACATAATCAATTTCTTTTTTAGCCCTCACATATAAATGAGCACATTCAGTGTTTCTCTTTTTGTGCTTGGCTTATTTCACTTCAGATAATGGCCTCCAGATCCATCCATGTTGCTGCAAATGACAGGATTTCATTCTTTTTTTTTTTTTTTTTTTAATGGCCAAATAGCGTTCCATTGTGTCTATACACCACATTTTCTTTATCCATTCATTTGTTGTTGGGCACTTACTTATTCCATATCATTACTATTGTGTACTGAAGTTACTGTTCGGTCTTCTTTACCAACCTTCCTTCTTAATGCTGCTCAAATTTCTAATTTTCAAGAATAAGGTAGTCTCCTGCACTTGACTGTACTAGAAAAATGGGCTGCTGTTTCTTTGCTGGGAGTCAAATATTTGGTCTTTTACCTACAACACGCCCAGGGTGCACTATCTAAATTCGCTCAGGCAAAGTGCTCATAATGAATTCACCACTTAACTCCAATTAAATAGCTCCCATAACGGCCCTTCAAATCATCATCTATAGACTAACACAAATTCTCAGTTTAGTTGGCACTAGAGCAAAGCCACACAGTGCTAAAATTATTCAAAAAAGGGTGTGTAGCACATAAATTATTGTGAAAACTTAAATGCAGATCAAGGTTAATAAAAATTTGCTTATTAAAAAAGGGTATCACCAAAATTATGATGGCACCAAAATTCAGGTTCCTGCAGGGAAAGGAGTTATTTTTCCCACCCGCTTCCCTTTATCTGCCAAGGGCTATGTCTGGTCACCCCACAGTCATGTTTCTCTGAAAGCATAGACTTGCCTGGGTCCTAAGTCAACAAATATGAGACTGCATCTCAGGGACTGAGTGGCACTGTGAGTTACAGTGGAGGAGGGTTCGCTTCCCCTGGTCATTTGGGTGACAGTATCACCTTCCATCAGGTGCTCGAGTTGAAGGACAAATCTACCAGTGAACCATGAATGATTTCATTATCTAATCTAAGGCTTGCCTTGAATACACAGAACTCGGGGTCCACTCCCCAAATCAATGAAAGCTCTACTTCTGGGCAGTAAAAGCAAAGTGGAGGAAAACACTGTAGACATGGATGGAATTCACAAGTGTCTGTGCCCGATTCAACAGAGAAAAGAACGCTAATGTCAACCATGCCCTGCCTCAACTTTTAAGGACACTTAAAGATTTAAAGTTCAAGAGAGAAGACATAGGGATTTTCCAGGGAAGGAAGTACTTAGAGTCAAGATGCCCACTCTGACTTTTCTTAGTGTCAACGTGCCCACAGCCAAGGTGTTTCGCAGAGTCTTAGAACCATAGGAAACGATGCTTCTGTCAGCTCTGCTGCCAGCCTGCAGCCCCTGCTTCCTGGCTGGTGTGCTCTGGGCCCACTGTTCAGTTGTTCTGTCACCTGCTCCTCCCCTCCACGCGTGCCTCCCACCTGCCAGCTCGCATTTATCTCACGTCTACCACCCAGCGGATATGTGAGGTGGTATGAACCGTGATGTACAGACAGGAAACCCAGGTCAGCAAAGTCCTGTGACTTGCCCGGGGTCACACGGCGAGGGAAGGTGCAGAGCGGAAACTCTCACCTTGGATCTGCTGCCTCCACTTCCTGGGTAGTGAGAACTTCATGACAGACATCACCTGGCCCCAGCTTTGATGGGGATACTCCCATCTCCAGTAAAAGGAGAGAGAGAAAGACCAGAAGGGGAGAGGAAAATAACACGATCTATTACTTTCAAACAAGATTAACTTGTGATGAACAGCTGGTTGCAGAGTTCTCAACTTAAGACAGAGACTCTTCGCATGTTCCCTCTTTCCCTCTCTCCAGAGATGACAAGAAGTGAACTGTTTCTATCCACAGAGAGAAGAGGCCCTGTCCCCTTGTCTGCAGGCCAGTTTCAGCAGGAATTAGGAAAGGTGAAGTGTCTGGTCCAGCCAGGCTGCTGTGTTTTTACATGACTGGGCAGCCACCGATGGAGGGAATGCGCCTTTGGGACATGGGTCTAGGCAGGGCGGGCCATGGCTTCGCACACAAACAGCTCTTTCCTTCATGACTCATCAAATGTCATTCTCTCCAGCCTGGGTTTCCAAGAACCCCTCTCAATACAGTGCCCCAGGTATATTCTATGACCTAGCTGTGGGTTGAGATGAAAACCCGTTTACCATCCCTGATGCTGCTGTCTGCAGGGAGTTGCTCTCAGGGCAGCTGGGCTCCACCCCTGCCCAAGCACTATCTGAGGCCTTTTCCATTGGTTCTGTTGGGTTACCTTTGGCAGGTGCCACTCCACAAGTCTCTAGGAGTCTCTGGGATCTTCATCCACGGGTTAAAGGAGAGTTGAAGAAGAATCCAACATCCCCAGCCTTCTGCAATTAGGCAAGAGGTGATTTTCCTAGGGACCACATACCCTAAAAGAGCCTGTCTCAAAAGCATAAGGTAAGCAAGAGGGCAGTGAGCCTTCTAGCCTGCTT